GACAAAGCCGAGGCAAGAGTTGGACTCTTTGTCCTTAAGTCGAATTTGCCCCGCAACGGTGCCTACGGATTTCGGCAATCGACTCCCAAGATACAACGGCTACACTTGTGTTTGTAGCACTCCAAAACACAAGTACAACGAACCAAATGTAGGCTTATGTACTCCAAGGATGGAATGAAAGAAAATCAAAATAAATGAAATGATTTTGATTTTGGATAGAAGAGAGGATGAGAGACGTTTTTGAATATCAAACTGTGAGGAATAGGACACCCAAAGGGTCCTATTTATAGACCATGAAAGGGTGTGGACGAAATGGTTGAGGCCAAACCATGCACCCTTTCCAAACAATGCACCTTTATGAAAAGGTGTCTATTCACTAATGGTTGAGGCCTTTTTCGTAATTTCTCATTCATTCGATATTCAGGTCGATCCCCGTTTGTGCGCCTCGAAGCGGCGAAGTGGCAAACAATTTTGCCTAAACGGATTGAGTCGAGTTTTTGAATATTTGGCCGAAGTCGATACGAACTTTAATCGATTTTCAATTCTCGATTTATTTAACCAATATCCAACACAAGTAGCAAATTGACTCTCAATATTTAAAAAGAGTATGTTAGTGATCAACATTTCATGGTAAAGTAAAACTAGGGATGTTAACGAGTCGAGTCGAACCAAGCCGGCCTGCGACCTGAAACTCAATGCTCGGGCTCCACTCGAGCAAAATAGTTCGGACTTTTTCCGGGCCCGAGCCAAGATTTAGCTCGACCAAAAAATCTAAGTTCTACCTGAACTTTTGGGTCAGGCCTTATTTTTAAGGCAGCAACATGCTACCTTTTGCAACTTCAAATTTTAAATTTTTTTAGCTAGCTCGGCTAGGCTTGAGCTTGGGTTGGGCTGGGTTGGCTTGGACTTTTTTTTCAAGCCGAGCTTTATAGAGGTTTTACTCTCTATAAAATAATAATGGAAAATTTACATAAATCCAGGTATTTAACCTTTCAAATTCAAAATTTAGGGTTGAAGTTTACTTCTACAAAAATCAAGTATTATATGTAATTTATCCCCAATTCAATTAAAAACCCTAATCATTTCCCCCATTTTCAATTTTCAATCCAATTAAAAACCCTAATCATTTCCCCCATTTTCAATTTTCAATCCTGTCTCTCTTCCCTCTCTCTTCTCAGTTCTCATGTTGACTTCTCTTCTCTCTCTACCCTCCGTCGATAACCATCAATGTTGAGGAGCGCCGCCACCAAAGATGTGAGGGTAGAGCGGCAGTATATTTGCTGCAGTGTGGCGCCATTGCAGTTGGCGATATGAGCGTTCTTGCTGGTCAAAGCCACACCGTCGATCTGAGCTATGAGCATCGTAGTCAGCTCTCACAGTGGCCGCGCATGGCATCGTTGTGACTGGTTGCGCAGGAAGAGGTTTTCCTTGTGATTTTTCGACATTTTTTCTTGCGTTTTTGAGATGGTGGTTGCGCAAGCGAAGGTTTCTACTGTGATTTTGTGGTGCTGTGCAATGGTTTTTCTTGTGATTTTTGGACATTTTTTGTGCTGTTTGAGGTGGTGGTTGTGTAGGTAGTGATAGTGTGCTATGGTAATAGTGGTGGTGGCGAGTTTGTGGATTCTTGGTGGGGGCGGTGGTTGGGTGTGGTGTAAATGGAGATAGAGGATATTGTTGTGGTGTGCTGTGGTTGGTGCGGTGTGCAGTGGTGGTGTGTTGTAGGCATGGTGGCGTGGTGGTGTTACGGGTACGGTGATACAAATGATGGTGGTGGCAGGAGACAGTGGTGCTCATGTTAGTGAGATGATGGTGGTTTTGGAGGCGGTGGTGCCCAACCATTGTTGTGTTGCTGTTGATGATGATGGCGACAGTGGTGGTTGCGGTAGCAGTGATGGGTGGGGGTTTGTGACCAATAATTAGATATCCGTGACCAATTATTTGGACGTCTGTGACCAAAAATTATTGGTCGATCAGTATTAGGGTTGGGTGTTTGGTGCATATGACCAACAATTTTGTTTTTTGTGATTAAAAAATAATTTGTGACCAAGAATATGTGACCTATAGATAAAATGTAACATATAATTTGAATGATTCGTAACTTCGAAATAATCTATGATCTACAAAATTTTTTATGTGTAACCTCGAAACAATCTATGACCAATTAAGTTGACGATATGTGACCTGTAAATAAATCTGTGATCTATAATTATGAATCTATAACCATTAATCGAATAATCGTGACTTTATTATATTTATTTAATAAATATTTTTAGTTAATTAATTAATTAAAAGATTATTTTTGCATAATGAAACTTGTAGCTTGAATTTTGAATTCGACATAATTAAAACCTGATTTGTGAACTCTTCCCAATAATAATATTGGGATCAAGAATAAGTATTACTTTAAAGTAATTACTAACACAAATAAATGAGTAAGTTATTGATCGCTACAAAATGCGGTAGATGTCTGCATCATTTGAATTTTCTAGTCAAAATGATATAATAATGGAATAGCTTACGAAAGAAGTGATTGTTTAAGAAGTACTGAATATGATTACTGTTGATAATCATGATTTATTTGTTTGATCCCAATATTTTTGAAATATATTTTTCTTTCCGTTCTCTTCAACTACACATTTTTCAATAAAATAATATTACACGTCAGTTTAAATATTTTCTTATTTTTTAACCACACATTTTTCATCAATCTGCTATTTGAAAATGCATTCTTAGCTCAAAAATGGGGCTTAAACAGGCGCTAGATGTGTTATCTACAGTTTCTTGAAAAAAAGCCAAATAAAAAAAAAAAAATCTAATTGTTGTAAATGCATTGTAAGAAATTAGGGATGATATTAAGCTCGATCCACGTACAAAAAAAGCAAGCAACTTTAGATGCATATTTTAAAAGAAGAATTGAATAAAACAAATATAAGTCGCTAAATAAAATTTTATGTATTTAACTAGTTATTATTTTATATTTTCGTTAGGCTTAAATAATTTTAAATAATATTATTGTCTTATACATTTAACCAGATTGTTAATCTAGTATATTTATCCGAATCGGACCCATTTTTTATTATTTAAATGAGGTTATTAATTTATCGAGGTTATACTGTAATTGCAAAATTTGTCTCCAACATCAAAATCTCTATTAAATTGTTGTGGCCCTCAGGTGTCTAATTTTATAAATCTATGTTTCATTTACCAACTTGGACCAGTAACCAAAAACATACGAAGTAAGACATTTTATTAAGACCTCGTAATTTTTAAGAATCGGGTTTTGCGTAGAATTGGACATATTAGTTCTTGTAGAATACGAAGGGGAGTTAATTATGTTCAAGCAAATTATAAAAATATTGTTCCCCTAATTACAAATGTACGAGATTGGGTAATTTCTTAGTCCTCAATCTATACTTACGGATTCTAGAGTACGAGAAGAGGAACACCTTTCGTACCTATTATATAGCAGAAATGATATTCATATAGTAGAAGATTAAGGTTTGCAACGAGTAGAAATCATGATAACGTATAGGTCCCGTGAAAGTTAGAACCTTTCTTGTTTCCAATAGCTGACTGTGTAAATATATTTAAAAAATTAAGAATAGTTAGAAGTGAGCACGGTCTAATTCAACTTGGTATTAAAGAGAATCGAATCGAATTGAACCAAGTATCTATGAGAATCTTAATAATGAAATTATTGGTTCCATATCCAACTATGGAAGTGAACCGAAACCGAACCAATTGGTTTCTATTCTATAAAAATAAAATATAAAACTAGTTGTTAGGTTGAAAATAAACAAAAATAAAATATAAAATCACTTGTCCTTCTTATATTCTAACAATATAAAAAATCAATTTAACAAGGCTACAAACAAAAATCCACTCCAAAGTTCAAGATCAACTCACAAAGGCCATAAAAATGATATACTATTAAACACATAATAAGCAGTAAAACTTCGATTGAAACTCAATTCTTAAGAAAATTCATATGATAATAATCTGATTATCTTTATTAATTCTTAAGGTTCTTAATTCTTGATGGTCGATCACTGTGAAAACAGCAAGAAATTTGAATTATAATTAAATATTGAACTATATATATATATATATATATATATGTTTATTGCGTTGCATTAAAGTTATGAATTTGTAAAACATTTATAAAATTATTTAGACTTGAATTTTAATTACCCATTAAAGGAAAGAAGAAGCGTATAGAAAATTAAATTTTAACATGACATAATTTTGGGGTCTAATGTTAAAAGATTTAGTATATCTTGATGCAAGTAAAAAGAGAAATTTGGAAAAAACGAATTCACTATTGGTTTTCAAAGCAGAACCAAGAATCCAATCGGAATTGATTGGTTCTCAATGTATGGTCCCAAAGTCGGCCCAACTATTAGAGGAATTGAAACTAAACTGACCGATTCTATTAGACTTCGGTTGGGTTCCACCGATTTCGGGAGAAAGTGCCCCCCTATAAGAATATTTTTTTATTTTATTTAAAGACTTAAGACTAACTTACTACTCACTCAAAAAGTTAGGGATCGCAAATGCCATGCTCCCTCATACAAAAAAAAAATAAATATGAGACTTGCAATTGCTTACCATAACAGACTCTTGCTATACGTAATTTAATAATCACCTGCTATGTGTATATCACATAGAACGACCGTCGTAGTATACATCAAATAATGACATGCCATGTGCATGCTATGTAAGACGACTGTCGTAATGAGCATTTGCGCAATTACGAATAGCATTACTTTAGAAAATAAAAAATACACACCCTACCATGTCCTATCCCACTCCATCCCTTACGGTAGGTCCCTACGTCCCATTAGTCCCATATGAAGAAAACCTGTTGCTTGGAAAGCATCCAACATATATATCCCGTTTTCTGCCGTCTGTGAGAGCTGCATCCACACTTTTAAATGCCAAAAACGCCAAAACTAGAAGAGCATGTTTCAATCTTGATGGTGGTGTTGATCGAAAAAAACCCATCCTTGTTTCTCACGTCAATCCCTTTCTCTCTCCTCTTTTTCGTACCTATAAATATATCAGTCTCTACCAGTATAGTCTCGTCATCATTCTTCTTCACAGTATTCCTAAGTATACATATTCTTCTTCATTTTGGTAGGTTGATCACTAATGGGGGATAACAATATGAATCTGCCACCAGGTTTTCGATTCTATCCAACTGATGAAGAGCTTGTGGTTCATTTCCTCCATCGAAAAGCAGAACTCTTGCCTTGCCATCCTGATGTCTTTCCGGATCTTGACCTTTATCCCTATGATCCATGGGATTTAGAGGGTAAAACCAATTCTTATTCTTTTCTTATTCGCGTAAAAGTTATATTAGAGAAGCGACGAGTTTGCTTAGCCTTTGTTTGTCAACCATTCTACCAAGTTATTTTTTCTACAGTATTCATTTTCAATCACACATTCTTCATTTAATAATATTACACATAAATAAAAAAAATTTCCTTCTTTTTTAACCACATATTTAAATCATCAATCACTGTTCCACAATACACTTTTTGAAATTAAAGGGGCACAAACAGGCCCTTATTCAATTTATTATTCAACACTCTCCTCAATCTACGCTTGCGGGCCACATTCACTTTTTATCGAACCACCAAATACATGCACAATTTTTCATAGATAGACATCCGCTCGACTTGAATACCAAAAATATTATTATTTTATTATTGAAGATATTCAATCCAAAAATTGGATCAATTACATTTTGTTCAAACACAATGGCCCCAATTGGCCCTCAAGTGGCTCTCCCTATCGACCTCTTATGATACTATGTTGAACTAGCTCAACTAAAAACTTAAATATTCAGTGAAAGTGGATATATTACTTATTTAAATGTGTTTTTTCTATGTGATGTAGGTAAAGCAATGAAAGAAGGCAACAAATGGTACTTTTATAGCAGAAGGACACAGAGTAGAATTGGTGGGAGTGGATATTGGCAAGCTGTAGGAATTGATGAACCAATTTACAGCTCTAGTACTGCTAACAAAAAGGTTGGGATGAAGAAATATTATGCATTCTACAATAGCGAAGGTGTCAAAACTAATTGGATGATGCAGGAATATGGGATTTCAAACTCTTCTTCTAGTAGGAGATCATCAAGAAGAAGAAATTCCAGAATAGTAAGTACATATTTATATAATTTTTGTAATGTTGCTTATCTATGGAATAACATTTTATTTTTAAATTTTTTGAGTAAGAAAAATTCTTATTATATTTTCTTGTAGGATTACAGTAACTGGGTGGTGTGTCGAGTGTATGAGCGTAGTGGGGACGATGACGATGATGATGACGACGACGATGAAGACGGGCAGGAACTTTCATGCTTGGATGAAGTTTTCTTGTCGCTTGACGATCTTGATGAAATTAGTTTGCCAAATTAGATCCAAAAATTAAATTTCGGAATCTAATGCCCCGCTTTTGTAGAATTTTCACAAAATGTTGTAGCATATTAATTCAATATATTTATGATGGGAATCTGTACTTTGGACGATAAATATGTAATATGATCTTTTAAATATTTATGCTTAGCCGATGATATGACATATTAATGAAACGTAAAATCAATAAATCAGAAATCCATGCACAACCAATCACATGCAATGTAGTACTAAACTGATAATTATATGCCCCACAGTTGCTTCAAACTTGTGTACACTCGATTGATCCATTTTCATGATTTTGTTGGGGGGCTTTTGAGCATTTTCTTATTTTTGGTGAGTAGACCTTTTAGCTTTTTGTGCTATGATAGATATTTGCTAGTTGCCTTGTACCACAAAGCTAATTAAGGAACTATATTTTTCTATTTGATGATTGATTATGAAAGCATTAGTCATTTGTGAGGAAAGCATGCACCCACAAGCTTGAAAATATGTCCATCAATCAAATAAATTTGTTTTATATTATAATTTATTCGAAGTTAGTAATTGGTTTAATTTAATTTGTGTTGGCCTAACTAGTTTTCATCTCAATCTCAAATAAGATTGCTTGACTCGCGTCAAATTGAATAGTAATGGATTTCATGCGTTCATATTTTGATCAATTTGACCTTAATTAAAGGGCGTTGGGAGATTATATTGAAAATTCAATCTAAAAGAGTTCGATTAGACTTGAATAAAATAAATTTGGTAAAATTTATATTCATGAGAATCAATATTTTTCCTAATCGATTGTGAAACAAACAACTACGTGTTATAGAGGTTCGTATTCGACATAAAAATCGCTTTACATGTCTTTATTCAACCCCTACACTGTTACTAAATAAAGAATTTACCATTATCAAACAATATTTCCTCATTACAAAGACTATGCTCCACCACCAAGAGCACAATTCCTTCATGTAAGTACTACTCATTCTCTATAAGTAGTAACTTTCATGCAACTAGCAACTACTTATATTCATCTAAATTGCAATTAATCTATAGCTTTGAATCCATCCCTTTTTTTGTCCTCATTTTTAACTCATTTTTTTCATAGAAAATTTTAACTATACATTTCGTGGAACCTAACGACCACACTATTCATCAACATTTATCAAAATTAATTAATAAAAATTATGATATTTAGCTGTACCAAACAAGGGTTCTCCTTTTCCACTTTCGACAAGTTAACGACTACCTTTGAAATAATTATAGAAGTTGATGTAAAATGAAGTAATGTTGTATTTTGTTAAAATTAAGATTTATACGTGTAGTCTAATCTAAGAGGTTAAGTTTTTGGATAAGTTTGTTTTATATGGTATCAAATCATAGCAAAAGACCTAGATTTGATTCTCGATGGCGACCTATTTATTAAAAATTGTACACTTGCGAGGTTTTGATGTGAAAAAAAAAATGATTTGGCCTATATAAATCGACAAGTTGAAAATAATATTTAAATAACTAGTAACCGGTACATAATTAATACCTTAAACATTGAATTGAGATGGTTAACGAATTTTCCTTGCCGAGTAAAAGACGAACAATTTGCCTTTTACTTTCATTTTTTGGTCAAAATTGCAATAAATTACTGGAAACTTTTCCATGGATTATGGAAATCATGGAATATTGCGGCATTGCACTTCTTACCTCCTTTATCTATTTACTTTAATTGCTTTACCTTTTCCTAACCTTCAAATTACCCTCAGGATCAGGCTTGATTGATGTATCTTTTGCCCAAGTATTAGTCATGAATTCACATTGACATATTTTGATAGAATAATGCCATTTATAGTTGTTCAGGATCGCAATTATTCTACGTGTATTAAATCACTAACCGTTACATGTATGTCACGTAGGATGACTACGATGATGAATGACTGCAAATAACATTATTCATTTTGATATGACACAAAAATAGCAAGTTTATTAATCACTTGCTGCGTGTCATATCATCATAATAAATATACATGATCAAATAAACGCTAGAGACCGAGCTTCCGCTAAGTTTAAAATCATCTTTTAAAGCATAATTTAAATCATGTATTAAATTTTAGTAGATTTTGATAAATGTTCATGAAATGTTTAGTTGATAAGTTGTGGATTTCATAGAATTTGTGGTAGAAAATGAGTTTAAGGATAAACGAGTTTTAAAAATGGAGGATCAAACGGGGGCTAAATAGTGATACAAACAGATAAAATAATAATTTAAATAAAAATTTATCGTTGAAATATTTTAACTAGGTGAAAATTGAAGTGAGAGAAAGACATGACTTGGTTAACAAGTGATCCTGATTGTCAGCATGTGTATAGAGTGCTTTCAAGAAAATCACATGTATTGTAAAATATAACTTTAATTTTGTATATATTATGAAGGACGGACAAAGATTCCTTGCTTAATTAGCTCGTCAACACTGGGCATGCTAATCATCTCATTGCATATACTTACAACGGCACGTGCTAGAGAGACAAGAAAGAGGATTTATATGTTGAAGATTTACGTTCTCAATTATTTAAACTTTTAGATGACGAAGCAGGGCAATTGGTAAAGGTTGTTGGTCCAATCTCATCGTCAAGCAAAATTATTTACATGTCGAACTTCTGATTAAAATACATGCTACTCATCCTCTACAATTTAAACTTTTAGATGTAATTGTAATCCCACGCAATTTTTTGTTGTGACTAAAGATAAATCAAATTTGTTTGTTTTTGTTTAGATATAATTTAAGACTTGTTTATAGGACTTCTACTTTTACTTCTATCTTAAACTAACTTCTTTTAAAAGATCTTTCAATCAGACACAATAGTTTTAGAAAATTATTCAAATATATCCAAAAACAGCTTCTTGGTCTGAGAAGTTATTTTTAACTTTTCAAAAATCATGTCAATCGAGATCCAACTATCTTTCGTAAGTCATTATGACATGGCTGCACTCAACACATGCATGAAATGTACCAATCTCAACTTATTCATGAAGTTTTTAGGATTCATAGATAGAGACAATTAGAAGGTTGCTTATTCTTATGGTTTNTTTACTCAAGTGAAATTTGGGTCCCTATCTTAATTACCTTGTATATAGAAAAGTCAAAATAGAGAAAGAAATGTGATATCGAAAGTCATCAATCCTCGTTTATGTAATTATATCCTGAATCGACTTTTGATTTTCAATATTATATTCTCCTGGCACTTGAAGTTACATTTGAAGGAATTCGTTCAATTTCATTGTTAAGTAATTACTAGTTAATGATAAAATTATAAGAAACAAAAGGAAAAAAGAAGAAATAAAAATCTTTTTTTCTCGATTGCTACATATATGACATATTAAAGACTCAAAAATTGCGCGAATTTGGTTCGAGTGACAAGTTGGTGCCTACTTTGGAATAAAGCACCAACCGGAAAGTTACCTTAATTTTCTCATGTTCAGACTTAATTTATTTTCTAAAACAATTATAAGTCAATATTAAGGGCCCATGTCAAAAGGAAAAGGAAACACATAACCTTTAATTAATTTACTACTAACCAAATTCACATAATTTAATATGAATATTTTTAAAATTAACGGCTTGAAAGCATAATTCAAGAATTATTATGAATGATAATATAAACTATAAATTGGATTAAACAATGACTATTTATGCAACTGAGCCGTAATATTGTAGTCAATGTGGGCCGTATTGAGTAGATTTGGATATCTTTTTAGGAGTATCAAATTGGACGGGATAACCTGTGGCCCGGCCCGTGAGTTCAGTGGGCCCAACACAAAGGCCCGAAAATCAAACAAGACAATAACAATTACATCTACTCATCTTTGGCAATATCAAAGATAATCATTTGTGTTAAAAAAAATTATTATTAACCTCTCATATTTTTAATTTCCTTTCATATTTATTATTACATCTCATTTTTTTATAACGATTTATGTCTGAACATTCCATTGCAAGAAGTGTAAAATAACTTGTTTGTCCATCATATTTAATAAAAAATAATAAATGTAAAAGTGGGACAAAATATTTTTCTCTTATTTCAAAACACGCAAGCAAAATATTTTGATAGAAAACATCTCAAGGACAAGACATGACAATCAATGAAATGTTGAAGATTAAATTTTAAAAAAGTAAGGGGCGTTAGTGTTATAACGATCAAAGATTGATAATTTTAAGTGCAATTAAAATATGATGCAGCAAGTAAAAAACTCAGTAGTGATGGTAATAAAATTCGCCCCGCCCTGTGAAGGAAGGAAAAAAAGATTAAATTTTTTTTTTTTTTAGACAATTCATCCGTTAAAAATCCATTTTAAATTTGTATTTTATTCTCTAATAATAACATAATTCGAAATTTTGAAAAAAATAAATTAAACGGGACAAAAAGTTGAGACTTATTACAACATGCCGAGGTCATAATTCTCGTTTTCCTCCTACTTTTTGACAAACAAAATTCAAACTTTTATAATATTGCATAATTTTCATGGCAGGTATATTTGTTAACAATACCGAATGTGGGTAAGTTGAATAAAAGTCAAGAAAAAACAATATGGACAAGACATCAAATCTGAACAACTAATTAGAAACTTTTCCACTCTGTTCATTTTTGGTACGTTGAAAAACTATTAGAATCTAAACTAACTTGAGAAGACATGAAGTCAGCTTGTTCTTGAAAACCAAGCAACCAATTCATAAAGAAAGACTAGGTAACGAATCTCAACTAGAACAATAGATCTTGCCAATATGCTCCAACAAAACTGTTGAAATCGAATCGACACCGGTCTCAACTTTCGCAATTTTTTTCACCGATCTAGATTTTCTATGATATAATTTCAGCTCTTAACATATTTAGGACGTTCACCAAAACAACTCAAGAGAATATTATGACATATTCACGTATTGTTAATCATTTGTTTTTGAATAACTATAAATGACATATTTTATGAGCCCTTAGATATAAATAATAATAATAATAATAATAATAAGGAAAAAAGGAAGAGTACATAAAGAATTAAAGTAAATTTCTCAATTAATCATGTTCTTACATATAGTTTCTTGAGTTCTTTTCAAAACCAATTAGCGAGATCGTACATTAACTGCATTTGTTCTTCAGTTATCGGAGATAAGATAGGA